TATTATATACAACTATACAGATTAGTATATATATTGTATTACATTTATATTCTATATAAACATTAATTACATATTATATATATTATATATCTATTTGTATAAAAGATTAGAATCAACTGGAAGACAGAAGGGAAGAGATTAATAGCAAATAAATAAGCATTATTGTATAATACTAGCGAATAATATAATACATTATATTCAATACTATAGTAGAAATTGAGGTGTATACGCACCTGAATAAAAGCCCCAAACGGCCTTATATTTTTAACTACCCCTTTGATAACAGCGCCAACACCTGAAGAAATTCTTGTCTTTTTAGGTGGAGAGGGCGAGGCATAGCGATGGGGGGCGAAGCTGTCGCCCTCCATGCTGTCTGCAAACATGTTGTAGAAGAAGAGAGATATATAAAAGAAGAAAAGAGAGAAAGAAAAAGAATTAAAGAAATAATAAGTATTCAAGAAAATAGGAAAAGAAAGAAAGTCAAGACAAAGATACTTAGAAAAATAAGAAAACGCGGTAACAATGCATAGTAATAATACTTAAGAAACAACCATTGGAGGTGTAGAAACTCAAAAAAAAAAATATAAACCCTAAACCCTAAACCCTAAATCATGATGGTTTGGCATCAGGGTTAACGAATGGATCGCCGAAACCACGAGAAAACAGAGGAAAATGTCTTTAAAAAGGAAATAAAGAAAGAAAAACAAATAATTTTATTTATTTGCTTAAATAATATTTCAATTTTCTGCAAATATACATAAACACATTCACTTTATTTCTTCTCTTCTTGCATGCAGCAAGAGATGGCAGGGGGGCCCCGACAGCAGCCCCAGCAACAAAATACGGAAGAAAACCGCTAAAATTCAGAAATTAATAAATTAATATTCGTTTATATATTAATATTTACATAAATTAAAGAAAAAACGTCTAAAAAATCAAGAAGTTTTCTCCTTCTTGCCTCACCTCTGCTCTTTACACTCTCTCGGCTGTACATACACATATCTTTTTCTGCATGAATGATATGAAGGTAAAACCCTCGAAAATACAAATATATGTTAAATTATGCATTTGTTTTCTTTTATTTATCTCAATTAACTCTGCAACTTCTCTTAAATTTACCTTTCTCTCCAAGTCGTACAAGAGAAGAAACACCTCTTTGTTTGTTTCTTCTTCTCTTTGCTGCCATCCCTATCATTGTTCCAATACTTTAAATTCTTTTCCTTTACTTTCTTCGTCTTTTCTTCCTTTTGATAGAGGGGGAAGAAGCGAAGAGATAGACCCGGAGGCAGGAAAAACAAATTCATTAAACAATCAAAGTTGCAGTAGGTGGAGAAGAAGAGAAAATGAAGTCGTAACTAAAGCAGAAAAAAGACGCATCGCGTTAAAGATGGAGGAAAAACAAAATGTAGTTTTATTTCCGTCTCTCCTAAGACTGGACAGCCTATGCCGATATCTGCTGCAAGAAGAACAGCAAAAACAAACAGAAGAAGAAAATAACGATGATAAAGAATGGTTCAGCAACAACTTATGGCGGCAGACTCTCTTACCTTCTGCTTTTCAAGCTCTTGCAGAAGCCATTGTGGAAGAGAAGGGGGAATTGAAGAGAAAGTTAGACTTAAATAAATGCAGAGAAAGCTCAGATAAACTGCGTGAGAGGCTGCAGGATGCTGCGCTTAAAATGAAAACACATTCAAACCAAACAAATGATACACTAATTCACCTAAGTTGTGATTTGGTCTCCCTAGCAGTCGGGATTCCTCTTTCTCCTCAACGAGCTGCTAATTTACCCTTAAATGCATTAAAGAAAGAATACACATGCAACCCAAACGATGCATTTAATGCATTCGAAGCGGCACAATCCATCCTAGAACTCCCTAAAGATGAAGTTATTTCTTTTATTGCCAAACAAAACGGAAGATTTCCCCTAGGTTTGCTTTCTGTTGCTCGGGGGAGGCGAGTGAGAGAGGAAGAGAGAAGCCCTTCAGGGCCGCTAGAGGGAAATAATAAGACAGACGAAACAGCTGCATATCAACATGCAACTGAAAAAATAGATTATATTCCTCAAGTTTTGATGGTTTCTCCTTTTTGGATAGCTGAGCCGTGCGACAAGCGGAAGAAGGCGGGAGCGATGTCTGTGCAGAATGCGCAGAAGAGGGTTGTTGAATCTTTAAAGAAATTACAAAGTTTAAACACCTGGAATGAGAATACACAAGAAAGTAAACAAGGATTAAAGCCAATCATGGAGTCTTTTACCCCATTTCCTACGACTTTCTGGCTTTGCAACGATCGCCTTGGGGCGCAGATTTCTGAAATTGAATTGACAGGATGGATGAAAAAAGTGGAAAGCAGTCAATTAATTGAAGATCCTGAATTGCAATTAAAAGTTATTCATGATAATATTCGTTTTATTGCTCTTCGGTGGCTTTTAATTCCGAAATTCCTTCTTGTTCATTTCTACACAAGCAACCGCCGCTGTGCAGAATGCAGTGTACATACACCCGAAGGGCCGCTTATTCCTTCTGTTTCTGCAAACGATACAATTGAGGCATTGAAAAGTGGAAAATCAGATACGGCGGAAGGAGAAGAACATTTTAATGCAGTAGAGGAATTAAATACCCCGAGAGATCTCAACAAAAACAATTGCAATCGATGTTCCGTTTGCCCTTGCAGAATCTGCAAACTGATGCAGTGCCACAGACTGAGAGGGATGGGCGGTCTTTTAAACTTTTGTCGCCTTAGATGTCTGCATATGCAATATGCATATCATTTGGTTTGCCCCACTACTGTTGGAAATATGATGGATTTATCATTTAAAGTGCATGCAGCAGTTGAATGAACAAAGAAAACCTTCATTCTTAATCTTTTTTTGTCGCTTTTCCCTCACTGACACGGGCACATATGCAGCACTTCAACACCTTTTCTCTGTTTCCCTTTAAACTGTTTCGATGCTGCGGTTTCCTCTGCATTCCATTTTTTAAAGAATTAATCCGCATCTTATTTCCACTCTGTTATCCTATAGTCTTACTGCATATATATAAATATATGCATATATATATGTAAAGAAGTTATAATATGTTTTTAACTCCTTTCTTGCCCCGTGCATCTTCAGGCATATCTGTGAGTCGGGGTGTTGCTGTTGCTACCGTGGCAAAGGAGTTGAATTTTAATGAAGAGTACTCATAATGATAATAATAATAGTATAAACAATAGTAATAAAGGTAATAATAATAGTAGCAATAATAATAATGATAATAGTAATGGTAATAATAGTAATAACAATAATAGTAATAACATATTACAAATATGAAGACAAGAGCAAGACGTACTTCTAGTAAATGAAACCTTAGCTGTATTGATGCCCCAGAAATTTAATGAATATTAAAAATACTTTAATTGAAATACATTTGACTTTTAATTATCTCTAAATAAACAAAAACAATTTTATTTTGACTTTTCACTATATAGGGGGCTTATGGATTGCCTTCGGAGTTACATTTACCTTTTCTTAGTCTTTATTTTGTTGCATTTGATTATTCTTTGTTGAGTTTCGCTTTTTGTTTTGTTATATTTTATTTTTCTCTTTTTAATTTCATCTTTAAGGTGTAAATTGTATTCCTTTTTTTTTGAAATTTTTTATTTCTTTTTTCTTGTTCAACTTCATTTCTCTTGGATTAAAACTGCATTTTTCTTCTTTTTTAATTGAATTACTTTTTTCTTTCTGAATTCTATTATTTTTTTATGTTGAATGCCGATATTCTTCTTGTGTTGAACTGGTGTCAATGCTGTGAAGAAAAAAGACAAAGTATGTTCTTGCCGGGCGAGAAAACGAGAAAACTTTTTTGAATTTTCAGATATAATATTAAATAGTTTCAAATTATTATTTTTAATTTGAAAAATTAAACATAATAATTCCTTCTTTGCACATCTTTAAGGCTGGGAGGTTGCATGTCTGGAGGCGCTGGCGGCTGGCTGTGTGTTGCAGCGAGGGGAAGATTGGAGATAATGGGGGTTGTTTGGAGTTAAATTGGCGAGGAAAATGTAATTTAAAAGCAAAAGTATATTAAAAATTATTTTATTTTAAAAAAGAATCATTTTTCACTGCGCTTTCCTTCCTTTTCCCGTGTGTTCACTGCGGCCGGTTGGTTGGTCACCTATCAGTGAAACCAGAGTTTGAATTTTTGCGATTTTGCGGAAAATATGTTTTTATATTTATTTAAAATGATATTTCGGCATTTTATTTATTAAATTTCATTTTATTTGACCCCTAATAATCCCCGTTTCCCCTTCTGCTTTCGTATGATTTTCGTCTGCATTCAAGACGGCTTTGTAGGGCGCATTTCAGGTGTATGCATGCAAATGGAGTATTTCAATGTTTTTTCTGTTTAATTTATTAATCATTTTTATTTAAATACCAAAATGATGCCCTCAAATAAAACATTTCCCATCAAGACAGCCTCTCAGCACTCCGAGATGTGGGGCGGTGAATCTTCTGAAGACGAACAGGTACTTGAATTTTTTTTGTAATTTTCTTTATCTTTTTTTTGTTTATTTTAAATACGTACTATTTAAAATTAAGGGAAAAGACATTTAATTCCCAATACATCGCTTCCTTGTAGCAGGAGCCACCCAACAAACGCCTTACAGTACTTACGAGCTGTTATTATCTTCATGAATACACAGAATAATATAATGCAAATATATATAAAATTATATACAAACACTTTTTAAATATTTTATCTAAAAAACAAAAACAAAAACAAACGAATAAATTTTCTTTTGCTGAAGACAACGCGAAGAGGAGAAGAAAAATAATTATTTCATGAGTTGCAGCAGCAGCAAAATACTTGTGCTGCAGCATCAACAGCGGCAGCAGCAGCAGCAACAGCAGCAGCACCAGAAGCAACAGCAGCAGCAGCAACAGCAGGAGCTGC